AATAAAATTTGTGAATATTTCTTTTGCCCAGATTCCAAGTAAATTTCAGTTTGTATATGTCAATAGGGCAACGATTGAATTCAAACTCACAACGTGTACGTGTGAATTTATAAAGTTTTAAAAATCAAGAGTTCTTTGTCACATTCTGGTCCGGCCCCCCACCACATCTAGGGAGCTTCTAAAAAACCTCGTACTAGGTAAAGATGAGAATATACATATAAGGCTTACATGATCCACTCCCCCGGGCGATGTGGGATGTTACAATCCACCCCCCTTAGAAGCCCGACATCCTCGTCGGCACACATCCGGCCAGGGATTGGCTCTGATACCAAATTGTCACATCCCTGCCCGGGCCCCCACCACATTCTGGGCTCGACTCCACCATAGCACAATATTGTTCGTTTTGGGCCCCGACCATGCCCTCACGATTTTATTTCTGGAAACTCACACGAGAACTTCCCAATGGGTCACCCACCATGAAATTGCTCTAGCGCACTACTCGCTTAACTTTAGAGTTCCGATGAAACCTGAAGTCAGTGAGCTCCCAAAAGGTCTCATGCTAGGTAGAGATAAGAATATACATATAAGGCTTACAAGATTCACTCCCTTGACGATATGGGATGTTACATTCCTCTTTCTTCCCCATGCATTTTGAAATATATAAAAAAAAGGTACGTAGCCGGATGTGATCTCCATGCAATCTCTGCGCCGACCGGTAATAATCGGTCGATGATAGAACAAATTTGTTTTTACCAATGCTATATATCCTAAACCGCGTACAAATTTTCGATCACTCATATTATAATGCATAATTTAATTCAATACGTAAAAGTGTTACATACAAACAAAATGTGTCTCCAGTCAGCCCCAGCCACAGAGATCAAGGAGGACCTCGAAGACGATCTGATCTGGAAGGTTAGAGATCATGAGAATATTAGAAACGATGAACTGGATGCCGCTATTGCCGTTCATCTGCCCCCAAGACTATTGATTATTCCCTCCCCATTTCTGACTCTCTCTAGGTTTAATTAACATCCCACTAAAAAAAATGAAAATGTTCATCACTTGCCTGTTTATACAAAGACGGTTTGCCACATACATTAGGATGGGGTAGATCGAGATGAATAGCAGGTGACAAAAACGCAGGGAAAAGTAGAAAATAGAAAAGAAAGGAAGAAAAGGAGAAGCAGGGGACTGCCACCGACCCTGGCCTCAGCCAGAGTCGGCGCGGAGAAGGGATGGATCAAGAATTTGATAACAAGTTCCCACCAGGTGAAAAGAACTCTCACGAAAAGAGAATAACGTTGACGAAGGAGAGAAAAGCTGCTTGTAAGTTTGTTAATCATATGCAAGTTCAATACCAAAAAGGTTAAAACCAATTAACACAAAGTTAAGAAACTAATCTTGTAGGCATATTCTAACCCCTGTAAGTTTGGAAATGATCGTAAATCAGGTAATGTGTCTAGGGACTGTTATATGTTTCATACTCTAATAATAACACTATTTGATTCCTGATGTATAATGCAATTTCTATTCACTATCTGTACATTAGTGTCTAACATACACATACATAAATTATTTGTGGAGCCAAAAATAATTATAAGGCAACACATAGATTTTTGGATAGAAGAGGATAAAAATACCCTTGAGGCATACCGGGATTCCTACGCGTGAGCAGCGGGCAATCATCCCTCAACCAAGTCAAAAGTGCCCAAAATATGTAACAAATTCAAAACTATTTCATCCACTCTCATCCTATATTCTCCACAAGGTAATCATTACATAACCCCCAAAACATTTCTTTTAAATTATGTTAATTAGTCAATTAATAGATTTATTACCTAATTAATCTATTAATGGCTAATTAACTACAAATTACACCCAAAAAATACCACAAATGGCCCGTCCCTATTCTCCTAATAGGGCCGGCCATATCCCTATAAATAGCTCTTCATTCTCTCAAAAAACTGCTTCCAAGTCTCTTGCAAAACTCTACAAAATTCTCCAAACACTCTTATCTCAAAATTCTAACTTTGGCATCAGAGGTTTTTCGGCCAAAGCCCCCCATTCATCATGGGCGCGTGAGGCTTTTTGGCCTTGACCAAAGGTGTGATTTGTTTTGTAAGAATAATTTTGTTCAAGTAGGAGAAAACAGAAATTTGCATCCATATTATTAATTAAAAACACCAAAAAATTTATGTATGTATCAAACTGTAATTTATCTTGAAAAAAAAAAAAATTTAACATACGATCTGTTATCTTTCATCATGAAGCAATGACAAGGAACTACTGTTTTAAGATTCCAGTCATTATCAAAGTCCATGGAAAATTAATGCTAGTGGCTTCCTGTAGGGAGCAATTAAAGAGGACGGTTATCCGTGGAATGTCATGAATATTAATTACCTTTTCTGCAAAAAAATTATGTGTGTGTGCGCGCGCGCGCACAATTGCAGAGCCAAAATTATATAACAATAGAATCATGATAAGTAAGTGTAAAATTAAGCATATTTTTGTTTATAGTTTGTCCACGTAGTAATATTGTATTTTTTGTTTATATGTAAAGCGTTAACAAAAAGTAAAAGAAAACATCAAACACCACACATGACAATAAGCCATGAATCAAGAAGTCAATACATGACATAAGTGAAAATTAGAACACAAGTTTTTTTTGGTCAATTAATAAGAATTTGAGTTAAGCACATTGTATGGGACAGAGAAAATTTGAATTAAGAAGAAGATGCACCACCAAAGAAGAAGATAGAGGAAAGAAAGAAGAAAATTGAAGCAACAACAGTAAAGAGGAGACCGTTGAGAAACAAAAAGCTAACCTACAAACCATTTATTTCCCAAACTGATAGGGGTCAAGACAAAAAAAAAAAAAAAAAAGAAAAAAAAGAAAAGAAAGAGGGAACACATTGGGTTATTGGGGTCATGTGAGCTCAGTGACCCTAGTGTGGCTCCGCTAGTGTACACACACACATATATACATACTCATACTAATAAACACATAGCTAGAAGATTTTCGAATAGGGTTTTGCAAATCGCAATCAAGGGACAACAAGAGTTTAATTTGTCTTGGATTGCCTCCATTTCTCGTAACATCAAGAAACCTAAATAGTTAAGGCCAAGTTAACATGCATGCATTGCATGCCAGTCATGTTTTACACGGATCATATTTTTCTTTTTCTTTTTGGACAAAGGGTAAATAAACTGTACTAATTGGCCAAAGTATGTTCACCAAAGAGTATTGTTATTTATACCATGGTTTTATATCATATTTTTATACCATCTTAGGTGGCATCTGATGTGGATAGCTACATCATTTGTAAAATTTGCAAAACCCAAGGAAAGAAATGAGAAAAACTCCTCATATACCACAATCATCATTTAATTAACTAGTTTTTCTTAATTATTAGTTTATTAAATAATGAACTAAATTTAAAAATCTGATTAATTCAAATAATATGGTTGCTCACATCAAATGCCACCTAAAATGATATGAAAATGTGGTACAAAAACATGATATGAATAGCATTACTCGTTTACCAAATTTGTAACTTTATCTGCTTTAGGATGAGGAGACAGCAATGCGGTTAGAATAGACTGAGGCTCCATGCATCCCTTTGGGGTTACAATATGGATTGTACAATTAAATGCTTGATTATCATGTTCACAATTGTGTGTTGAAAGAAATGGAAAAAACGTAAGGATCTTAATTGATTGATTGAACCTAATTATTTCAAATACATTGTACTTTGTGGTTTCTATTCCTTGCTTATAATCAATTAAGAGTATTGTTAAAATTCTAAATATGGAAAGGGAATGTAAAGCTTTGTTGTTTTTAGTTAATATACATTTTCAATAGGATAATGTTTGTGTTCTCTTATGGGTGAACTTACTTGTCCTCCGGCCCACTTACGATTAACAAACCTTCACTGTCCAAACCTCATAATTGGAATCGTTCATTCTCTTTATCATCATATAAAGATCATATATGCAAAAAGAAAGTTTTAATTTGAAGACCTTTTTTGCCATTCATATGCATAAAACAAATGGACTGTTCATTATGAAGATGTTACTTGTTATCAAAACCGTTGATTGGTTTAACACGTATAGATGACTAAACAATCTCCAAATGGAATGACATTTTTGCATATATGATCTTAGATGATGGTGAATAGAATGAATGGTGCTGATTATGATGTTTGAACGATAAAAATTTATTAATTGTAAGTGGAGGGACAAGTAAGTTCTCCTCATATGAGCCACAAGCATTATCCTTTGCAATACACCCACATGTCCTATGTGTAATTTTACCTTCTTTAACTAGGAGAGGGAAACAATATTTGTTTTGTTTTGTTTTATTTTGTTTAGTTGGTATTGTTGAAGCTATTTTTTCCCAATACAAGTGTTATTCTACACTAAATTCATTTAAATTACTAGAAGAATTCGAACTTGAGTGCAGGGGTGCACACTGCTCTAACCAACTTGACCATATATAAGACCAATTTTGAAATTTAGTTGGTAATGCTTATATTCTTCAATTTTACTATGTCATATATATATATATATATATATATATTCTAATAATTCAATTCAAGTTTACAATCTGGTTTAACCCCAACATTAATCAGTATTTATATAAATTATATTGGACTGAGCCTTCTAGATTGCTTGTGACAACGTATTACAAGAAAATCCTAGGGGATTCGTATGGTGTAAGAAAATTTAATGTAGAAAGGTGCAAAATGGTTTGAACAACAAAACTAACCATGCAAGGTGAAAATTGTGCGTACAAGTGATGGATATCTTGTTGCTATTGCTGGATTTTTGTGTACCTTATTTACCATGGAGTAGGATTATTTATCATATACACCTGCCGACCTAATCTCCAATTGACACTTGTCCATATATTTTGTCTGTCTCTGCTCTCTGTTTCAACCTTTTGGCTCTATATAAAGTTAAACTGCCTCCTCCTTCCTCTCTACCAGTCGCTCAAAATTAGCAAAGCATACAACTCCTCTATTTTTTTACTACAAACCTCACTAACTAAATAACATTCTCATTAAAAAGGAGAAAGAGATTGAGAGAAAGCGGTCGGGCTTAGGGTTTAGTGTTTAGAGATCGATGGATGCAATTTTGACCTACGTTTTCATCTGTCTCTGCACCCTTTTGTCATTTGTATTTTTCATGAAAAGGGACAAGAGAGGAGGAGAAGCACCCCAGAAAAGGGCTCAGCTCCCTCCAGGTTCATTAGGTTGGCCTTATATAGGAGAGACCCTTCAGCTCTATTCTCAAAACCCAAATACTTTCTTTTCTTCCAAACAGAAAAGGTACGTAAGTCAAATTGGCCCGATTTCCTCGTCAAATATTTTTTTTTTCTTTATTTACATTGGAGGGTATCGAACTCTAAACATTTCTATGCTTTGTACTTTGTTCAGGTACGGAGAGATTTTCAAGACGCATATTCTGGGATGTCCAAGTATCATGCTGGCGAGCCCTGAGGCCGCGAAGTTTGTGTTGGTGACTCAAGCTCACTTGTTCAAGCCCACGTATCCCGAAAGCAAAGAGCGTTTGCTTGGTCCATCTGCACTGTTTTATCACCAAGGAGATTACCATATGCGGATGAGGAAATTAGTTCAAGGATCTCTATCCCTTGATATTATTCGAAATTTGGTGCCTCATATTGAAGGCTTAGCTGTTTCTGCCACATACTCCTGGGCCACTGGCCAAGTCATCGACACCTTCCATGAAATGAAGAAAGTGAGACTTTCCTAACCTAAAATCATTATTTCTGTTTTTTAAGCAAAACAGTAAATAATTGCACAAAATTATTTATTCCTCAATAGTCGCATGCGAAACACAAGAAAAATACAATTAAATAAAAAATCTTTGACTTTGCCCGTTTTATTAATCAACTGACTTTTATTTTTTAATTTACTGTATCATTGTAGTTATCTTTCGAGGTTGGTATAATTGCAATTTTTGGCAATTTGGAGGCACATTACAAAGAAGAGCTCAAGAGGAATTACACCATTGTGGACAGAGGCTACAATTCATTCCCCACAAACATTCCGGGCACACCATACAAAAAGGCTTTGTTGGTAATTTTCTTTTTGTTAATACATGTAATTACTGATTAAATCCAAATAAAGTGTTTGATAAACTAATTGTTCGTTAATTGTTTTGATTATTTGTAGGCAAGGAAAAGACTAAGAGTAATTTTGGGTGATATTATATGTGAGAGGAGGGAGAAAATATTACTTGGGAAAGATCTTTTGGGTTGCATGTTGAACTCAAAAGATGAAAAGGGTGAAGTCTTAACGGATGACCAAATTACTGACAACATTTTGGGGGTGCTTTTTGCTGCTCAAGACACTACAGCTAGTGTGATGACCTGGATTGTCAAGTACCTCCACGATGACCCCAAACTTTTAGAGGCTGTAAAGGTACTATAACACACACCAACAATTATACTTTCAGTCGTTTTCAGGCATGCAAGCAATTTTTCACCGTTTTATCATTGTGAAGATCCACGTTTGATCAATATTTTGAAAATTTCCATACGTATATTACTGTTGAACTCGCATTCCATCGGCAGCCAGAAATCGCTCAACGATGGACACAAATATACAGCTATAGCCATATCATCATGATTCTTTTCCTAGGCTCTACAACAATTCACTTTCACTCCATTTGCCGTCTCTTTATCTATAAAAGAAATGGCACTTTTATTTATACTTGCCTAAATTGTAGGCTGAGCAGAAGGTTATTCGTGAAGCAAATGAAGAAGGCCAGCAACCATTGAGATGGGCACAGACTAGAAACATGCCAGTTAGTCACATGGTATGATATATATATATATATGCGCGCGCGCGCTCATACGATACAATCATACAAGGCATGGAATATATTTTACTTAATTTGTTGCTACCTGTAGGGAATTACGTATCTTCTTTCTTTCTCAGGTTATTTTAGAGAGTTTGAGAATGGCAACCATTATATCTTTTGCTTTTAGAGAGGCTGTGGTTGATGTGGAATACAAAGGTATTAACAAGACTATAAACTAAACAATATTTTTTTCTTGAAAGTTTATATCTATATAGAGGTGAAATTTATATACTATATATTAGGGAAATGATTTCCGCACACTCTTTTCTTCATATTCACACATTTGATTACTTATGTCCATTGATTCTCATTCAATTCATTCAGTCTATTGATTCCCTACTATGCGATCATCAAGCCCCTAATTTTTTAATGACATTTTGTCATACATTTTTGTATCATCGTGTCCCTTTTGAATGGCATTGCTCCTTATAAGATATGTATATTCAAGACGAAGTGCGACAGTTATTGAATAAGAAAACAAAAACTAAGTTTTAATTATTGATTACTACATACACATACACAATCTCTACTTGTTTTGGTCAAATATAATCTCTTGATTTGAGCATATGTGCATTAATTTTTTTAACTAGAAAATGAGATGTAATTGCTATAAGAAAATATAAATCTAGAGACTATGTATGGTTGACGGTGGAATATGTGACAGGGTACTTGATTCCAAAAGGTTGGAAAGTGATGCCTTTGTTCAGGAACATTCATCACAATCCTGAATTTTTTGCCGACCCTCAGAAATTCGATCTCTCTAGATTCGAGGTAGGGTGACTACTACTGTTTCTTTCTCTGTTCTTAGTCATTCACCACGCCATATCTGAACTTCTAAGATGTTAGAAAAGTCTAGAATTCATCAGTAAATGATAATTGTACAATTTAATTATGAGCTTGCGTTATAAAAATTTTAAATTTATATAAAAAGTATAGCGAGTGAATCTGAACCACTTAAAACACAATCTATATTACTGTACATTGATGTAAAGTAGGATAGATATTACTTCCTATAATTATTAACAACTAATGCATCTTGATGTTTTAATCAAACTCTGATGATTAATTAGGTTGCACCAAAGCCAAATACATTTATGCCATTTGGAAGTGGAGTGCATGCCTGTCCGGGAAACGAGCTTGCAAAGCTGGAAATGCTGGTTATGATGCACCATTTGGTCACCAAGTTGAAGTGGGAAGTAGTGGGTTCCCAAAGTGAGATTCAATATAGCCCATTTCCTGTGCCTCTGCATGGACTCCCAGCAAAATTTTGGAAACAATTTGCCTGAGCTGAACTCTCACAACCCTCCCCAAATTAACTTACCCTCATAATTTGTGTGTTTTTTGCCAGCATCTCCAACCGATATGTTAAAGTGATATGCATGGACACAAAATTGCAAGAATTGAAGGAGAAAAGCAATCCAACTAAGTAATCAAATCCTCATAGATTTGAAGGCACTAAGGGCAATGTCAAAACTAAATATTATTTTATTTATAATGGTGCTTATGTTTTTCTTCGAAAACATAATAAAGATGATATAATATTTTATATTAGAGTGGACTTCACAATTTTATAAAGGTTCAAATTGCTACCTAGACCAACAAATGCAAATGTATCATTTTAGATTTGATATATCTCCTTATCTCCCCTTATATTATATGGAACTGATAAGATAGAGATTTTCCATGCAAGACATCTGTCTTTAATCTAATAAATGACAGATCCTTTACTGATAATAGGTCGATACATTTTGTGTATTAGGTTGTCATCGACAACGATATTGACACGACTATAGATACCATACAACACGTACACTATAAGAGGAGGGATTACTGTTACGCTATGGTCGTTTTATTTAGACAATAGTCAAGATTACCAATCTAAGAAATTTAAAGTTTTGAGTTCCCTGAAAATCGCTCATTTTTCTGCTAACGATGCTATTTTGCGGAAATGAAATGTCCCCGTTGGTAGATAGTTTGCTTGTTCATCCATTCCCTTCTTCTGGTGCTTGTTCTTTCCCTTTTTGCTGCTGCGTTGGCGTAGTTTGGTTGCTTGTATACGGTTCTTGGTTGCTGTATTGTTGCTTCTCTTATTCACCCAAAAATAAAAAATATTTTCTTGGCCCTTTAGAATGGAAAATCGAATGTCATTCCACACGTTCAATTTGCGTAACAACACTAGCAAATGCTTTGATAATATATATACCACAAGGTGCAAAAATAGCAAAGAACACTTGAGCACCAATTTGTTGTTTAAGAAAAATAAGAGCTCGTGTGAGAAGCTAATCAAGAATGTGACATGATTGGAAATCAACATGTCACAACATGTATATACAACATATCTGTGGAATGATTGCTGTTGCATTATTTACAGATATCATAAGTCTGTAGACAAAAACTCATTGATTTGCTCAAACTTCTTGAGAAGCTGGAGTTGTGTATTTACTAATGGCTGCAGTGATCCTCTCTTTGTCTCTGGTAGGGAATGCTTCCAAGAGGACTCCGTCTTTATAGAAGTGGAAGAGGGGCACCGTCTGCATCGTTTCATTCAATCTTATAAATTTTCAGTACGAAGTACGGAATCAAACTAAAATAGAACTTAATACAAACTTTTTCTCAGAAATAAACTAAGAGGGCATTAAACAAATAATAATCCACTTATAAATCAGAGTTTGGTGTCGTTTCAGTTCAAATTTTTACTAGAAGTTTGTAGTCAGTTATATCAGTGTACAAGTGAGTACTAATTCGAACTAACAATATAAGATTAGTGTGCAATGTTTCCTGTGAAATCAATCAATCCAGAGAAAGTTACCTTAATTCTAAGTCGATCAGCAACCTCGGATTGTTCATCGTACTCATCAATTACCTGCAGAAATTAGAAAGAAAAAAAATCGTTTACCACAATTACATATTGAGCTAATAAAGCAAAGTTGAACTCAGAATGAACGATTTCATGGCGTTTGTACGGCGAAATGATACTGACGTTATGCTTTAAGAAGATAACAGCAGCTTCTCCATCGCCAGCTCCCTTGCACAACTTTGCAAACCCTTGCTCTATGTACTTGCAGCTCCCACACGAAGTCCGATAAAAATCCACGACAACTAGAGCACCACTTTCTCTAGCCCTTTCAAGAATTTTGCTGAACTCCGCGTCAGTCCTAAACTCTCTAACACATTCAACGGGACACACGTCGTCGTCGTCCTCTTCGGACAATTCTCCTAGGTTTCCCGTCGCCACTCGGGCCTTTAAGTGCCCGAATGCGCCTCGGAATCCCGAAACTTCCAGCGCCGTAGTTTTGATGATGGTTGATGGATTTCTGGTTCTCAGAAGACGTGATTTAACTTGGGAGGGACTCGTTGAACCGAGTTTTGTGTTTGGTTTTGTGACAAAGTTGAATGAGGCTTTGGCCTTGCCGTAAAGAATGCTCTGCCTGTGCATCATTAGCCAATGGGAACATGTATTTTCGGAGCTGATTGCCTCCGGCGGTTGTTGAGGTTCTCATTTGCCATATCTGAATTCTGACTTATGCCGCCAATCAGAAGACGACACGACATCATTAACCATATCGGCTAGCTGTCTGATTTCCCAACCAACTTTCAAATTCCAGTTATGGGCTATTTTCTTAACAACAGTTATGGGCTGATTATATTTCGGCCCAATGGGCTTTCAGCTAATACCGTTGCAACGTCATTTTGTAAAAGACTTTTTAGTTAAAATGATCTTGAGATTGACACTTTGATCACTGAGATTTAAAAATTGATAAAACTGGTTTGTAAATTTGTCCACAATTAATAATTTTAGTCATTTCCGTAAAAAAATCACCGTTAAATGCTGATAAGATGATAAAAATATCCTCAAATTTTGTCAAATTATTTTGACTTATTGTTTATTATATTGAGGATAGTGTTGTCATTTTGATTCTTATTTAATAGAAATTTTTTATAAAATAATCAAAATAATTAAGGTAGACAAACTCAACAACCAAATATATCGATTTTTAATCTCACAAAACAAAATGACGAGTTATTTCAATCTTAAAAACTATTTCCCGTAAAGAAAATATCGAATTGCTGACGTCATCTCGACCAACTACAAACTACCAGAAACTAATGTTATGGGAATGCGTGCCTTGTCCGTAATCTGATCTCTTCAGGCGCGCGGTTCGTTCGCGCGTGATCTCATATTCCAATTAAGTTCTCAAACCAACCTCACCAGTCCCTCTGGGAATCGGATCGATAAAAACGACGTAGTTGCGAGGCCCTTTCCATCTCAATACTTGCAGAGAGAGAGAAAGAAACAGCAATGGCGAGCGGTGCAGAGCTGAAGTCGGAAAGCTTGCTGGAGCTGATGAAAGAGCACCTGAAAACCGACGCCGGCAAAGAAATCACCAAGAAAATTGGATTCGTGTATCAGATAAACATCGCACCCAAGGTAGGCCCCCACCACCCCACCGACCTCCCTCGAATTCTCTAAATCTAATCTAGATCTAATTAAGTCCCCAATTTTTCCTTGACTTTCTGAGTTGAAATCGCAGAAACTTGGATTCGATGAGGTGATTTTTACTGTTGATCTCAAGAAAGGCGAGGTCAAGAAAGGTTAGGGTTCCTGATTTTGCTTTGCTCCGTATCCTGGTTAATTAATCTATTAGAGCCTGTTGAGATTGTTTCTGGAAGGGTTAAAAGCGTTTTGGGACAGTCAAAATTGCTTTTCATTGCACTTTTACAGAAAAATTTAGGTGTGTTTTTCTAAAAAAGCATCTAAAAGAAAGTGCTTTTGACTGCGTTTGGCAGAAAATTCAAAAGTGGGGTTTAGATCATATGTAACCGCTTTCCGAAGAGTCACTCGGAAGATGCTTCTGGGAAGCACTTTTAAGTGATTTCCAGAAACACTTCAATTTTAACGAAAATATCGGTATCTCTGTAACAAAAGCGCTTATGAGAAGAATTGGGATTTTTAGAAAAACAATTCCAAACGGCCCTTAACATTTCTGTTTTATGCATGAAAGATGTGGAGCTTTTCTGAAAATGTGAGCTGAAATTACAGGGGCATATGAAGGAGGGAAGCCAGATGCGACTTTCTCGTTCAAGGATGAAGATTTCGTGAAGGTGGCCCTGGGGAAGATGAACCCGCAAATCGCTTTCATGAGGGGGGCAATGAAGGTCAAGGGCAGCCTGAGTGCCGCCACGAAATTCACACCCGACATTTTCCCCAAGCCTGCCAAGATGTGAGATTTGGGATCTCAGACTTTAATCCCCCTTTCTTCTTCTTGCTTGATTTAATGGATTTATGAAATACTAGTAAACTTTGAACTGATGGAATTTTAGCTTTCCACTAAGAGAGGAATAGAAGTCAATTAAATGAAAGCTTGTGTTCTTGGATATATGAATCATTTCATACTTAATGCAATAAGCTGCCAATTAGAATATGATTCTGAGGATGCTTTTATAAATTCTTCTTTTTCATGTGATTGCCTGCAAATTTGCTGTCTACTTCTGTTATGTTTAGTGTTGCTGGGTTGGATATTTGGGAGTTGGGTGGTTTCGGGGAGAATGACTTACATGAAACGGATTCACCGCTATATGGCATCTCCTATCCAGTAATGCATTGCCATGTGAAGAATGCTACTCTTGGCTTTAAGAGTTTGATTTGGCTGCAAAACAGCATAAATCAGTCAAATCAATGATAAGCTGAAAGGGAAATGAACTCTGCACACCCTTTTTCGGCTTATACACATCCATGTTTATTTTCGTCATTTGATTTTCCTTGCATTTATCCAATACAATGGGCAGAAATAAACTGGGGTGAGCCAAAATTGCCTCACGAACAAATGAAAAAGAAAGTGTAACAGTTCATTTCAACCAAAAACAAGTGAAACAGTTCAATATTATGATGTTCACCGGGGCTGAACCCGATGAGGCAAAATCTTGGGTGTAATCGGTCATTGATCACCTTCACTCCATCTCTCGCGTCACATGATAGTCCCAGCATTGATCAACTTGCGCTTGTCCATAAAGAAAAATGGTTTTGGTTCAAGGAAGTTCAGAGTATATGATTGCCAATCAATTTGATGGATGCTGCCTAACATATTAATTTGATGGATGCTGCCTAACTTTTTGAAAAAACTGATCGCATTCGGCCGAGTCTGCCGTTTGCTAGCCCAACACACGGCATGATGCTTTGAATTTTCTCAAGTATATCTTGTCGTACAAACTGGTTATCCAGCTGGAGTTTCAACCTCCGCCAGTCTTGGCTGTTTAATTTCAAAATCTGACTTTTGGTGAAGAAAATTCAACGACATATACGAGTATAAAGGCACACCAAGTCAAGTGTCTAGCTTCCCTTTACAGATAAAACTGTAAGACCAAGGCACCATGAACTTCCTCCTTTTCTTCTGCATTTGCCTCTGCACTTCTCTCTTGCCCTCCTTTGCAGCCCCCGCCGTGTTATTTCAGGTAACGAAGCTATACATGCTTCTCTTTTATAGATACACATTACTCGTTATGTATGCGTGTTCTGAATTTTGATCCAAGGGCTTGGTTATGTCTTTGAATATGATATAGGGGTTCAACTGGGATTCAAGTAAGAAAGGAGGATGGTACAACACACTCAAGACCTCCATTCCTGAACTTGCTGACTCTGGCATCACCCATGTCTGGCTTCCTCCTCCTTCTCACGCTAATGGAACTGAGGGTATGTACTTGCTACAAGCCTATCACTATCTCTGTATAATCTCGTTTGTTTGTTTAATATTCTCGAGTAATCAGTAATGTTCTCTTGCCAGACTGCGAATCAGGAATGCGCCTTCTGGAAAGAGTTATATTGATCAATAATTCGAATTTACCGTCTGACAAGATAATGATTCGTTACTATTACTCAACATTTCAGGATACTACCCCGGAAGGCTATACGATCTCGATGCTTCGAGCTATGGAAATAAGGATGAATTGAAGTCCCTAATTGCTGCCATGCATGAGAAGGGAATCAAAGCCATAGCAGACATTGTGATAAACCACAGAGCAGCTGTCAAACAAGATGAGAACGGAATATGGAGCATCTTCGAAGGCGGAACGGCGGACGGACGTCTTGACTTCAATGCCTCCTTGATTTGCAGGGATGACAATGACCATCCTTTCGGCACTGGCAACCCAGACACCGGAGACAACTTTCCATACACAGCTGACGTGGACCACACAAACCCTAAGCTTCAAAGTGAGTTGTCTGATTGGATGAACTGGTTGAAAAACGAAATAGGGTTCGACGGGTGGAGGTTTGATTATGCCATTGGATACGGCTCTAGCTTCACCAAGCTCTACATGGATAGAACTTCACCAGAATTCGCAGTTGCCGAGTACTGGCGTTGGAACATTGCGAAAGGGCAGGACGGTAAACTCGAACAGAACCAAGATGCACATAGGAATGAAATAGCTAGTTGGATTCAGGCAGCTGGGGGTGTTGTCACGGCGTTTGATATGACAACCAAGTATATTATGGATGTTGCTGTGGTGGGTGAGCTATGGAGGTTGAAGGATTCAAATGGCAAACCACCAGGGTTGATTGGGATCAAGCCAGAAAGTGCTGTGACGTTTATCGACAATCATGACACTTGGTCTCAAAAACTCTTGCCTTTCCCATCTGATCAAGTCCTGCTTGGATACGCTTACATTCTCACCCATCCTGGGACCCCAAGCATAGTAAGTAATCAACATCGGGCTCGATAGGAAAATGTTCTTTTGTCAAATTATCTAACAACTTAAGTAGCATACATTTGTTGTAGAGTGGGATTTGGATCGCCAATTAGATTGACTTTTCTATAATTCTGTGATCTAGATCACAGTTTGACAACATATTCATTCGTTCTTTAACATCAAATAGCCAGGCCTAGGCGTCATCTTATTGAATTAGGAAGGGTTCTTTTGTCATGTTGTCTAATATAGCGCAAGTAGTCTATAATTACGTTACTAGATTGTCAACCTGAATCAATATTAGTTTGATTCTTTTTTGAATATGTAATTCAGTTTCACAATTTGATAACATAGGTCTAGTAAGAGAACATTTACTCCGAATTCGACTTACAAAACTTCTTTGTTTTCGATGTTTCAGTTCTATGATCACTTCTTTGAGTGGGGGTGGCCAAAGGAGCCTATACGCAACTTGACTGCAATTAGGGCGAGGAATGGGATCAATTCCAAGAGCAGTGTGAGTATCTTGGCTGCCGAGGCTAACCTGTATATGGCCAACATTGACGACAAGATTATCATGAAGATTGGTACAAAGTTGGACCTTGGAGACCTTGATCCCACAAAGTCGAACTTCCACGTTGCCACCAGTGGACAAGACTTTGCTGTGTGGGAGAGAAACTGAACTACTAAAACTCTCATTTCTGTAATGTATTAGAATAAATAAGGCCAATCTGATGCCATTTCCTCTCCTCCAGGAATAAGGTGGACGGCAATTACAAATTCTAATTGAACTACGAGCTTCGTGTTCCAAAGATGCTCAGTACTTTGAGTGTTCTTTACTAATTGAACTACGAGCTTCGTGTGTGTGTTTTAGTCAACTCGTCTGAATTTGTTCAAACTATAATGTTGATACTTTGGTTCTAGTAACCTTGTTACAAATAGAAATATTTAAACTCAAAAGATAAAAATGAAGCAAAATAACATGTTAATTTTTTTTATTCTTCAAGCAATATTCTGAATAATTTAATCTAAATTCTAAGTACAAATTCAAACTTGAATAAGAAGGAGAGCACACTTTCTTTTTTAAACTACGAAGTTAGCTTTGTAATACTATTTAATGTTCTCTCACCCCGTGATCAAGAAAGGTCACATATTCTTAGTTTTGATAAGGAATTACACTAAGGGGATGGAAGAGTGAGCTAAACCTTACAATAAGTTAGCCAGAATAATGTGGTTCATATTCGCATTTGCGTAAGAATCGAACCTAAAACCTTTCGTTTACAAATAAAGAGAAATACTACTATATCGTGCTTCTCCCTCTATTTTTAGCCTACTTGTTCTCTAGTGCAGCCTTCCGAATTCCACCTCCCAAGTCCCAACAAATCTTTTCGCATCCCAATTTTTACACTAATATTACGCTAATTAATATTTGTATTTTACTCTCTCATCTCTCTTTCAAATTATTTGTTTAAATTATGATTTTTTTTTTGTTAAATTAATCAATTGCAATTTTTTAATTGATTATCAAATTTGTTTTAGGTTTGTAAACTTGAGGAGTATTTTTGCTATATTGTAAAGAGCAACCTATAAAATGGAATGGATGATTTGTGGATGAATAATTGTTTGATTGGTTATATTGATAAAGATATTTTAAATAGTTTAGATGAGAATATCATGGTACGGTTTCAAGAAATGAAAATTCGTCGAGTACAATTAGGATCATTGTGAATTGGTAAAATTGTCGAAGAATTTCTTATTTTAGACTTGTATCATATTATATTTTGTTTTTGTTTGCACTTTTGTAGACTATCTGTTTAGATTTATTTTTAAATATTTGGGGTAATGTTATTCACATATCTTTTTACCTCCTATACACTCTTGTTCAATTGTTAAAAATTGAGAGATGTACATGAGAGGTAAAAATTGATGTGTGAATAGCATCACCTTAACATTTGTGAGTGACCCCTTCTTACAAGAAAACCTGACTCCGTCATTGATATCAAGGGAATAGTTGTTTAAGATTGAGTGTTAATGAGATGAATGAAAGTTTGTACTTGAGTAAACCTGGTTTGAATACAAATTCTTAGCAGATTCTGTTTATATAATCATCCCCAGACCTGATTTTTGGTATCACCATAAATTTCTAGAATGTTTTAGTTTTAAGTTCTTTTGTATTTGGTATTTGCATAATTAACTAACAATTTTTGTAAAATGCCACGAAAATTTCATGACTTAACCCGGCTCCACTGAACCGACCCGACCCAGGCCCAATCGCCTATTCTCGCTTGACTTTCCACTTTGAGAAACCCTAATAAAAAACCGCATAAACTCTCCCAAATTTGAAATTTGAACTTTTCATCCCCAAAACACCATCTCACACTCTCAAGACTCCCAAAAGCTCTCATCTTTCACCCACCATTTCCCAAATCTTCATACAATAAATGGGCGGAGCTCACAGCCGCGAACACCTCGAGCTCTCCGACCCCGACGAGGAAGAGAGCGATGAGCAGGAGAGCTATGAGGATGTGGAGGAAACTGAAGCCGACCACCGCCAGAGATCCGCCGAGCGGAGACCCAAAACGCCGTCGTCGGCGGAGTTAGACAATGTGGACGCCAAGCTCAAGGCTTTGAGTCTCAAATACGGGTCTTCTTCCAAGAACCCGAATCTGAAGAATCCGGTAAAGCTCTACCTTCACATTGGTGGGAACACCCCCAAGGCGAAATGGGTAACTTCCGAAAAACTCAC